CAGAGACTGCTTCAACCAGTCCAAGAAGTCTCCAAACCCTTCTAATTCTAAATAATCAAAATAATCCCTGGATAAGGTAAATCCTGACACCAAGATATTGGTTGCGTGGACATGGTAAGAAAGTAAACTTACTACGTGGGTTCAACATCCCAAGGAAGCTGCATCTAATGAAATAACTTTCTGGGCTAGATGATCCGTGAATGGCTGTATAAACAGTGTCCAAGAGGTTTTCAGCAAAGGGTTAATGCAAGGTGCAGTCTTAAGCAGCTGAACATCTGAGGTGGATTAAAAGTGTGTGTTGAGGGAGATCACATCATTTTACAGGCCCTTTAAAGAGCAATGAGAAAACAAGTTATATAGGCTGCAAGGTGAGGGGATAGACAACAATGGAGCAGGATACAGGAATATCAGGAATGGTTATCTCTTAACCTGGACCACAGAAAAGGCATACTGTTGTGCCTACAGACACGCAGTCTAACCCCTCTCTTCCTCTTCAGGAGGCAAGCTGGTGTAACCATCAAAATGTATTTGCATACTCCAGAGCAAAGGCAGGACTAATCCTCTTCCAGCTTGACTCATTCTCAATGCGGACTGAGCTGATAAAGACAGTTTATCGAATGGCTCTAATGTCACCAAGTATCTCAGCCCAAAGGCTGAAAGGATTTAAAATAAACTGAAGTAAGCTCCTCCTAAATCAAACTAAGCATCCACACCCTATCAAAATTTGTTTGAAGATAAATTTATCAGAAAAGACCCATGCTTTCAGCAAATGAAGAAACCTATAAGAATACTGTAGATACTTGTTATATTTTGAGTAGTATGTTACTCAAGACATTGTTAGGGTTTATTATACTAATTCTGGTAGGCATGCACAAAGGCTTGGGTACTAACATTTTCACATGTTTGATTTGATAATTGCCCTAATTTTTGCCTTTCTGAGGATTATTTTAATTAAAATGGAGACTGGCTTAATTAAAGCGTATGCAGAGCAAAACAAACTGAGACAAAAAAAGGCTCCTTCACTTCCTGGAAGAGAACGTAACTTTTACCACAAGTCCTTCTGGTCAAAAAGGATGCATCCAAAATGTTATCCTGTATCCAAACCACAGAGAAGAGCATAGTCTTTAGAAAATACCTCTGGAATAGAGCACTGAAAATGCCGTGACCTTAACATTCACAGATATACAGATGGGCATAATCATCATACTTTCAGAAGAAATTTTCAAGCTATTCAAGGTAAGTTTTTGCTGAGAATCAGAGGACACAACACAAACCATTATGAGGTCTTGTTGAATACTAATGCATGTTTCCAAGAATAAAAAGTGACCAAAGTCTGGCAAGAAAATATTGGTAGTGACAACATACAACACAGAGCACAAAAATGCTTTTGAAGTGAGGGACAGAAGGCTAAATCAGTCTTGGAGCAGTTAGAGAAGGAATAAGAGGTATCAAAGATATATGGGGAAAGTAGAAATCTTAAGAAATCTCCAAATCCCAGGAGTGGGGATTGTTATTGAATTCTTTGAATAATCATCAAGATCCTTTCTGAGCTTCGGAAGCAGCAAAAAGAAAGAGGTTAATAAGAAAGCCTGCTGATGTCTGTAATTAAACAGACATCACGAGGACTGCGTCATACTCAGAAACAAAAGCATTTTTCATTCTTTTGAAGGTGAGGTCGATGGCACCAGAGCCACCTGAGTGTTGACTAAATCCTGTAATAACAAATACCTGGACACTTTATATACATAAAAAATAGACCCTGTATGTGTGTGTATGCATGCGTGTGTGTGTGCACCTGTACATATTACAGAGGCAAGGAGGTTTACAAGTGTTTTCCAGGCATATGCAACAAGAGTATGGACATTGTAAACTGTGTCCTTGGAAACAAAGAGCTACACTCAGTATAAACAGAAAGGGTTACCAAATGATTCCATTACTAATTTTGCTTATCCATATCAGAAGATTACTTAAGTATACAGACAATATCCAAAAGACACTTTGAAGAGTCTTTTTTCTTGTGTCCGTTCTACACAGTGCTCTTTTCATAATAAAATAATGGTGGATAAACGTGTAAATATAAACATCAGGTTTTCCCTCCCTATCTCTATTTTCACCTACTTATTTTCATGATAGTATCACTATCCTAATATATCTCTTTTCTGCTTCAGCAGCAGTTCTTTGTATTTAAAGATTAGCAGGACAGAACCTTCTGGTTCACAGTTAAACTGTCAGAATAGTTAAACTATGGATTTTTTATGTCTAGCAATACTATGCAAGCCACAAAAATGTTCTGCCTGAAAAAGATAAGGGGGACAAAGTGCTTTAAATGTATGGCTGGCATGTCAGCAACCTCTATGATGGCACCAGAGAGAGCAAAGATGTAATTTGTCCTCCCAGTATGTTATTTCCCAGCTGGAAAAATGCAGGAGTTGATTTAGAGCACACAAAGAGGTTTAAGAGAAGTTCCTGAAAGGACTCAGACCTCTGGGTGCCAGGTTCACAGGCTAGAAAAATGGGGCCAGCTCCTTGTTTACAGGGGGCACATAGCTGCAGAGGAGGGAGCAAAGCAGTTGTCTGGGCTTTTTAGTCGGGCCAGGGCTACTCACACTTGGCCAGCGTGTCAGATTCAACTGCTCTTTCCCTTGAGCTCAGAAATAATAATGGTCTGTTTTCCCTTTTTTTATGTCCTTTCAAGCACACTGCTATTTTTATGCTTCGCTTGCTGGCACACGGATCAATCACTGTAGGACCTGATTTACAACCTGTATTCCAGACAGTGCTTCTAGCGAGGCGGGGGATAGGGACAAGTGTGTTTAAACACTCATTGTGCAGCGTCTCGATTTGGCTCCAGGAGATATTTGGAAATATAAGGTGAAGGAAAGAGACTGGATCCTCTATCATTTATACTAATTAACTTCTGAACAGTGAATCAGCCTGACTGTTTCCATGGAGTGAACTCAAGACTTTCAGCCCTTGTCAGTGAGGTCCTCTTTAAAAGGTCGTTTTGTATTCCAAGACATATAGCACAAGCTTGCCACTCATTATGGATGGCTTTTCTAGATTAAAAGGAAAAAGGATTGTTTTATGGGAGAAAACTAAACAAATCTGACATCCCACACCATGTATTGACCCCATGTGAGAAGCCTTTAGTTTAAAGCCAACACATGACCTTCATCTTGCTTGACACAGGGGACACGAGCAATAATACTTGTTTTGATGGCCGATTTTAGGTGTATCCATATAAAACCCACTGCCATGAGAGTGCATTCAAGAGAAGATGCAGAAGATAGACTTCCCATGAGGAGAAAGGAGCGGTGGAGTACGATGAAATGACCGCAGCCCCGGTTCCCCATCTGCCTGTGCCACTTGGGAAGGAAGGACAGAAATTTGGGAGTGAAATTAAGCCCAGGAAGAAAGGAAGGGTGCGGTGAAGGTGTTGTAGGATTTATTTTTTTATTTGTTATTATTCAACTCTGATTAAATAGTTAATAAATTAAATTTCCCCAAGTCAAGTTTGTTTTGTCTGTGACAGTAATTCCTCAGTGATCTCAGCCTGTTCTTATCTCAGCCCATGAGCTCTTAGCTATATTTTCCCTCCCCTGCCCAGCTGGGGGGGATAGAATAGCTTTGATGGGCACCTGGCATCTAGCCAGAGTCAACCCACCAGACCAACCTAAAGCTCATTTAAATACATGTGAGCTTTCAGATTCTCTTCAGCACATTTTGGCCTTGATTTATGAAATAGTGATGGATGAACAATACAACTGACTGCACACAGCTGATGTAGCATACACTATCCTTCTAGTCTCTGGATATTGGGAGAACGCTCAGCCTTTACACAGATATACCAATCCCAGCATATGTATACATAGAAGGCACTCTACTTTCCTGTCAGCCTTATTATTGTCATGAGATTTATCTACAGAAATTGAGACAGAGACAATGATTGTAAACAATCTCAAGTAATCCTAAATGAAATCAACCAACCCTTTCTGGTTAATTAGGTTTTGAAGTAGCTTTCAAACTTAAACACAAGTTGACAACCATTGCTTTGCACCCTATTCCACAGAAAATTTTTATTTCACTGAATCATGACAGTAAAGGCCAGGCCTTCAGGTACCTCTTTCCTACTCAATGGGAATTTAGCAGGGCTGTTGTGGATCTGATAATCACCATTATAGAGCTAGGAAAACACCTTCTCACACATTAGCCAAATGTGAATTTGACTTGCAAATTCTAAACCTGTATTTATAGTGTTTACAAGAGGGGTTTGTCTCCCTATCAGAACTGTGGCTGAGGATCCATCAGGCCCTCGAACATCAGTGTCTTTATCAGCTCTCAGAGCTCATGACAAGGGTGTACCCAACTGCAACACCACAACACGCCAGGGAATCCTGGCTTTGTTCCTCAGAGAGGAGTCATGGCTTGGCACAGGCACCAAGGGCAGCTCTCCTGTCCCAGGAAGCACAAGTTCTGTCAAGGATCATATCCCAGCGTGTGAGAAGGGTTACTCTGCCGCATGGCAGATAGCAGTGTGATGAAGGAACCACCCTAGGTCACACAAATCTCTTCATCAATCCTCCCTCCCCGTGTGACCTTACCTACAACTCTTTCAGTCAAGTGAAGGTGAAAGATCTCAGCCAAGGAAGATGCTCCCCGTGTCTGTGCTGACATCTATTGCAGAGTTTAAGGGCCACTCACAACACAAGCAGAGCACAAAAGAACAATGAAATTTCACTGTAGTCTGTGAAGTCTCTCACCAATAGCACTTCATCTTAACTAAGCCTCAAAACCAAATATAATTGGAACTATTTTCAGACCAGAATGCAACCAGCCAGTAACAGTGCACCTTTGTGCACCTCTGCAAGGGGTCAACAAGCAAATACCCCTCTGCATTCCCCCATGTTCTCTTGAAAAAAAAACAAAACAAAACAAAACAAAACCAAACCAAAAAAAATGGTCTTACCAGATTTTCTTCTGACTCTTCTGATGCAGAGGCTGACAAAACATGGAAGACAGTGTACCAAGGGGTGGATGATTCATTCAGTCTCTTGGCTCCATCCATGCCTAGAAGAGTAAATCTCTGTGCCTTTACACAGAGAGGCTTTTTATGTTCCCATAAGCTATACCTACCCATGCATGGTGATGAAGCTGCTGCTGGAAAGATCCCTTAAGATAAAATAGCAGGAGCTGGCTTTGGTGAGATTTAGTTCAGGTCTAGTCCTTGCAGAAAAAGAGAAAGTAAGTAAATAATCTCCTCTGTCACAGAGAAGTACAAAACCAAATTCCTTCCTATAAGGGCCACAGTTACTCCAGAGGAGACATGGGAGTGATAGAGCTGCATCACCACTTCCCCCCATACCCACACAATAGTTGGTTAGATGAAGCAACATCTCCCTCAACACATTATAGATGTGTGAGAGACTTTTGGGGTAATAGAAGCAGAATGACTACAAAGCAGAATGACTTGACCACTTTTATTGCTGTGATTAGACTAATTCCAGTAACAAATCTACCCTCACACACTGTTACATTGTGCTACTGCAGTCCATACATATTCCTGCCAAAAATGCTGAGGCTACTGCTGGGAACTCTTAAAAGGAATTCTGCTTCTTTTGTTCTTGTCTTGATGAGCTCCATGGAAAATAATGTGGTGGTAAGGTGTTTCCAGTACTTACCTGTATCTAGCAAGTGATCTTCAGTCCTGAGCATTTGCAGCTCTTAAGAGCAGATTTAGAACGGATTCTTGGCAGATGTCAACATTTCTGGAACAAAAAAGTATTGACAAAAGATTGAGATGTTCTACTGAAACATAGATTTCACTCAAAAAGCTCAGACCTAGGGATGGATTGTTTGAGATCTGAGTGTGAAGTCAGGTTTTATTCTGGAAATCAAGGAAGGAAGCACGGAAACTGGAAGAGCAAAAGTCTGGGTGAAGGAAAATGTGTCAGTTCCTCCCAAATTTCTGGAAGTTCACATTTCTAGAAACCTGATCAAAATCAGAAGGAAAAATTTTATGTTTCTGGAAACAAGATCTGGGTTTGTACCCATATGATTCTTTCTGTAATCCTGCTCTTTCGGTGTTCCTGCTTCAGCTCCTCAGAGCCACGGGAGTGCAAGTGTGGCAACCCCGCCATGACTGATGCCAGGTTGCCTCCACCACGCCTATCCTCACTGACTGCTGCCCAAAATGCAGGTGAGTTTAGAGCAAGGGAGAAATGTGACTCTCAAAGGGGAAAATGCATTCAGGAGTAGTCCTGGCAAGGGCCCAGGCACTCCACTGACTGGGGCGACAAGTCCTCTCCCTGCCATGGAGACTGTGGGGCCTGTCAGACCACAGAAAGTCTCTGGCAACATATGCAGAAGGGGGGAAAATTTTCACTGAAGTATGATTCTGGCCACAGTTATTTCACTCTTGAGTGAGGTTATTATTATTTTTTTATTTTTGTTTTAGGAGGCTATGTTTCATTAGAAGCTGGAAGGTCTGTGTATACAAACACTCATGTAGTAGAAAAATCAATAAACATCCTTCTCTTTTATAATAACAAAAACAATGAAAAAGACTTTTGAAATCTTGTGCTGTAAGAATAGGAATAAATAGTGCTCTAGTGAGCAAGTTCCTGTTTCTAATTAGGCTTGGACAACGTGCCTCATTGGGCAATGAGGCCATTGTCTTCTCCTCAGAGGTAGAAACACAATGCTTCTCAAGTGGTTGTAAGTTAATGCGGCAGTGATAAGGTTGAAACAGGGACATGTGTGCCCCCAGCACCACTGCCCTGAAGGCAGGAACTTTCTTCATAACACACTTGCCCAGAAACAGCCTTGCAAGTTTCACAGTTGTTGAGTACAAAATAAAAAATGCTTTTTTTTTTGATTTGTTTTTACGCTCAAGATATTCAGTGGTTGCCAGGAAGTTATGAGACTCTCATCAACAAAGACTTTGGTCATCAAAGAGGTAATCAGAGCTGGTCATGAGATTTCTGATGGCATGTCATTGCACTGGAAAACTCTGATTTGTCAGAGCCAGAAATGTTCATATTACAACATATCTGTTTAAATTAAACAACATCAAACCACAGGTAGTTTTCCACTGGAAACTGGCTTCCTACCAGCAAGCCTGGTGGGCTGCCTGGGACACAGGGATTGCTGCCACCAGACTGGGAACCTGGTAGTGCTGGGAGATCTGGCTGAAGTCAGCAATCCCAAAGTATAAGCTCCCAACCCCAGCCCTGGCTCATCGTGCTGCTCCGTAAGATGCAGAAACAAGGCTGGAAAGAAGCACGTCCTGGGGAGCATATTTTATTTTGGAAATACTATGCGTCATTGTTTCCTATTCCTATTTTTTCCCTATAAATTTCTCTTTTGTGGGTAATTTCGAAATAACTGGTTTTGTTCCAAATCAGAACAAAACCAAATGTCAGAATTTCCCACGAACCAGGAATTTGATAATTTGGCCAGTCTTTCTGGTAATAATCCAGCAAATTTTCAATAAAATTGGATGTGCTGCTTGATGGCAATGAGCAGTTGGATTTTCTATACAACTTTGAGTGCTTCTCAAAGCGCTTTCCTATTAGAAGTAAACTGTCATTTTGCTTTCAGTTGCCAGTAGGTGCAGGCACAAGCAGTACCTGGCCCAGGACCCTTCTCCCAAGGGAATGTCTCCACTATTTGGTGAGGCTACCACAGCATGACCTGCTTAGTCCTTGGAGAAAGGGGGCAGTCCTGCTCTCAAAACACAGTGAGAGAGTGGGGGAGAAGATGCACACCAGACTCCTGGTCTGCATCTTGTTAAGCTATATTATAACATGACAAGCTCTCAGAGTGTGATGGGCCAGTGCAGAGCACAAATTCATCTGATGAGAAATCGGGTGATTTGTGTAAAGTGTCCTTCACTTACCTTTTTATTGCTGACCTTATAAAGTGATAGAGAGTTGGTTTGGAAGGGACAGTACAAATCACCAACAGCTTAACTCATGATCAGTGAGAAATGGGGATGGCAGCAGTTACTTCCCCACTGACATTTATATGAAGAAAGCCTATTTCAAAATCCATCCTGATCAGATCTAGAATTTCCAGTGTTTTTTACATCCACACAACACAGGATAAGGTGATACATTAGGGATCCAAGTGTGGCCCAAAGCTCCCAGAGGAAGGGTCCAACTCTAGGTCTGAAATTAGTTCTTCATAGAGCTTATGCTTTTCTAGGTCATCACCACCACCAAGGGCTCTATGCCACCCTTCCCAGCCTGGTCAAAATCCCAGTGACAGCAGCAGGGATCCTACACTGAATATCACATGCATGCAGATACTCCCAAAGCTGCTAATGGAGATTTCTCTACAAAGGAGAGTGTCTCAGTCCTATCCAAACTTGATGATTACCAAAGAGCTCCACCATGGCCAACACACAGAAGGTCAGCAGCTGAAATGAAACAGCTTCATGTTGATACCAGAAACCATGAGCCCTGGACTATTTAAGGTATGAAACAAACTAATTTAAATTCTTTTTTTGGAGGTGAGAATTCTGTGGTCATTATTTACTCACATGTGTTTAGGACAGAGTATTTCTGTATTTTAGCACTTTCCAAGACTAGTCACTTAGAAATGATACCAATTTAAGAGGTGAGAAAAAAAGAAACAAGAGAAAAGTACCAAGACAGAGCATCCATCAATGTCTTCCCAACAAGATAACATGCCTTTAAATGAATGTAATGATCAGCCAAAGGAAAAAGAGATTAAAAAAATTTTATCCAGATTTTGCTTACAACCACTTTCCTCCAAAAACTGATGAGGGCTACACAGGGTTTCTGCTTCAGAGACAACTGAATCCAGCTGAGCTGATATGTAAACTTTCTTTGGTAGAGAGCCCGCAAGGACCGGAAATTATTGCTGTATATCCAAAACTCACTGTCATCAAACTCGAAGCATGGAGAAAGCATTACAACCTCCGTGTGACTATGCTGTAGTAATCACTAAGGCCTTCTGTATGTTTGCTTCAAAATGCTTTGGGGCTTACCATGGACACTGAAACAGAAGGAAACCTGCCATGCTGCTTTATTTGTTCCCAGAGAAGTTTCTGTGAATCAGCAAGAACGTTGCACAGAGCACTATGCTCCTGGGGCCAGCCTCCAAGATCTGCTCTCTAGAGCAAGCGTGGCAGTGGAGAAAATCTGTAAAGTTATGGTTTTCTGGAGACCATAATTTAGAGAGGAGACCTGCTGTTTCTGTCTTTGGGAGACAGGGAGATGCATAGGGCTATGCTCTTTATCACTTACTATACTCTTACAGAGATCAGAAAGGAGAGTGCTCTCTGTTTCATAGCTATCCATTTCCTAAAATTCAAATACATGTGCTCTGTTTCTGAGATAAATCTCTGAAAACTTATCATCCCATGACCTGACAGGCAAAACTGGGCATGTCAATCCTTCCTAGCCTACTGACCTCTAAGCTCTGCTTTGAACCCCAGCTCATGGCTGGGATTCTGTAAATCACAGGCAGTCAACATGAAGAAAGGTCAGAGTTTATGCATCTCTGCCTTTTTCTCTCTCCTCTGTCTCATCACAGGAGGAACCCAGCATTCTGAGCTTTATTCAAGTTTGTAGCATTTATAAAGCATTTATTACGGTCCCTTCAAACACCGAGCAAGTAGATATTCTGCCAGCTGGTAAATGCACTGGCAAAAAAAAAGAAACCTGAAGAAGGCAGCTCCCAGATAAATAACACATATAGGGGAACATTAGCTACCAATTCCCAGTTTTAAACCTGGAAATCAAAAAGGCATTTTAATTCCTGCCAGCAAGTCCCAGTCATGCAGTGCTAGGACTAACAGTTGTGGGGTACTTGGTAACAGCCTGGCAGTGAATTTGTCTGAGGGTGGCCATCTGCGTGGGTTTTGTACACAAGGTTTGTATTTTACTTTCTTTTATTAATAAGGTTAATAAGTGGAACCATGTGCTGTGTTGTGTGTGACACGCTAGGCACATTAAATGCAATACAGAATCTAACAGTCCGTGTTTTAGAAGAGTTTAAAAGAACAAAACATGTTCATGAAGGTAACTTTCCTGAGGTAAACAAAAAATAAGCTGAGGCCAGCAGATCAACTGAAATTCTTCCATTTTTTTCTGCTTATGCCCTCAAGCTGGTAACATGAACCTCGGAAAACAAGATGTCAAACATTCACCTTTATCATTGATGTAGCTGATTGGTGTCAGGTGATGGCACTGGTTTCATCAAAGAAACAACCATGGAGCTTGGTACATATTACTGATGATGCACAGAGGAGATCAAAAAGACAGAGAAAAACACAGAGAAATCAAAAAGGTGAAAAGAACATCAAAAATATCATCTCTCTTCTCAAGGGGTACTGTCTCTCACTCACAGTTCATTGACACAATGAACAAACGAAAAGGAGAATTCTGTGAATAAACAGGCTCCACTACTCAGCCATGTTATTTATGGAAACCTTTCATTTGCATCTTGAGCTTCTGATATACAAAGGGGTATAAGTCAGTCCTAAATATACATTAGAATCTACTAACTCAGAATTTAGATTATAATTTGGCCCTCTCCACAGAGTAAGTTGGATCTGAGTTTCTATACAGTTTCTTCCAGCAAGAGAGTTTCTGTATTGTGTGTGTGACTTTCTGTTGCTATGCCATAGTAACCTCCAAAGCAGATCATCTGCAATTTCAGATACATTCTCCGAAATCTATTCTATATTCCTTATTTTCAATAGCTGCTGCTGGCAGTAGCAGTGATCCTTTGTTCCTCCAAAATTTGTGTCGTGCTCTTTCCTGATGCATGGGTTCATCTTTTCAAAGGCTTGATGATTTCACATTCAAAAGGTTTTATCAGATGAACATGAGTGCCAGCAGTGGTACATAATTTCTTTTACAACCACAGCTGTGGATGGTTATTTCACAGGTCATTTGGCATACGCCACACCATTTTATGGGCTTTCAAAAACATTTCCAAGGGAAAGAAAAAGTGGAGAGCTTTTCTGTAGGTGTCTTTGCACTAAGCTTTGACCTCTCAATTTCTAATTCTGAGCTGCTGCAGACATAATGACTTTCCATGGGCGAAGTTATTACTTCTAAAAAGGGGCAGCATTCCAGTGCTACCATGTGCAACAGGTTGATTACAGTCTATGGGATGCATAAATCAAAATGTCAGGGGTTAGCATCTGATGACTGCTTGCCCTAATGTCAAGTTCAGTCGCTAGTAGCAAGAAAGTAATTCCTTATTAAGGAATTGTGTAATTTTATATGATGTACCCAAAGAGAGAAATGCATTAGATTAGACAGACCTCCAAGGGAAGGAAGCAAGGAGTGAAAAAACAACCTTGGAAGCATAAAATTTAACACTGACTACTAAGACCTAAGTAAATTTACCCAACTTGCTGTAAGCAGGGAGCATTTCGGGACAGTTTCATTGTACATGTGAAAGTATTCAGTTACAATTTTATCTCTGTGAGCTGTGATGGTGTTGATTTGGCAAGCAGTGGGGCATTGTTATTCCAGCTGGGTAACTTTTAATGGGAATAGGAATCCTTGCTATTTGTCAGATACTTGAATTGACTAGTACTTCTTATTTTAAGGTATTAAGATTTAAACTAATTTGGAAATAGGATTTTGCAGAATCAAGGCAAGGGAGATACAAGACTAACTGCAAACATTATGTGAATGAACCATTGGAAGAGTTTCCCATTATCATTTTACTTTGCTGTGTTCATGGAAAAAGGTAAAAGCAAGCAGCTAAACTTAATGGCTCACTTCAATCTCTTCAGTACAGACTATACAATTGCACAAAAATGACAATTCTTTGCTTTTCATCTTTTCTCTTTTTTACAGACAGAACTCCAAATTTTGAGATCTCTGCCCAAAACGGTAGCCCTAACCTACATCAAGAAGCTTCCTGTAGTTCACAGAGCTCGCAATTGTTTTCTTATTGAAAAGGGTAGTTTTTAATTTCTAATATCAAAACAGATTGTGCCATTTATGTGAGTGTCTATCCTGAAATGTTTATGGAGAGCTGAAATTTTGGGATTGTTGGTGTAGGGGAACACTTCAGAGTCTCAACAATTCTGTGTCCAGAGTAATCCTCAGATCAGGGCAGTCACAACCCAGAAAAGGGAGTTTCTGAGTCATTTACTGTAAATTTTGGCTTAAGCAATCTGAGAAGGAGCAGAATTGAGTCCTGTGCCTATCCTGTGTCCAGGTTAATCTGCAAGGGGAGCCTCCACCTCATGAAGAGCATTGGCTTTACTGTCTTCCTGAAAGCAACATCATCAGGTGAAACACTAGATCATCACAAGCAGCAAGGAGCAACTATTGTGAATCTTTTCTAAAAACAACCTACCAAACACAGTGTTTCATTTATTTTTCTGGACATATATTTTTAACTTTCTGTGAAACATTCCAATGGACAAGTTTGGAGTCAACAGTATTTTTTGGAAAAGGACTTTTTAAGGAGTAATTTCACTTACTGATATGAGCATTCTCACAAACTCACCTGTGGGAGCTACACCCTTCCTACCAGGAAATACTATGTAACCTGTAAGTTTAAGAAAATCTGCTCAGCATAATTTGAATATCAGACACCAAAATGAGAAGCTACTTATGAATAAAACTGCATAGAAAAATATTATTTCCTGAATATCCTACAAAAAAAACCCAACAAACAAACAAAAAAACACACACAAACACCACACACACACACACACAACAAAAAACCTAACCAACCCTCCCAAAACTGTTTGAACATACAGATGGATCACATGAAAGCAGCTAAGACTTTATTTTATTATATCCTCATTAGTCATATCCTTTTGTTCCCAGCCTGAAAATTTACCTTCAGACTTACATTTGCTGTGCTTTAAGTTCAGTCTGTTGTTTTTTCATTTCTATATTGAGGTGTGAAAAGGGAGGAAATGGCCCAGCTACTAAAATATCCTGAATATCAATGAGGAAAATGATAAGTCAACTAAATTAACGAAAGTTAACAACCGTCTTGTCACAATAATGATTCAGGCTCTGGTCTTTTCAAATGTCAAATATGTGCTGTACCAATATTGATGAGACCCTGGCAACACAAGTTTCTTCTGGTTGTTGTAACAACAAGTTGAACTACAATGAAAATAACAACTATATAATTTTGGACATGCTATTTCCCTGGTCTTTCAAAACAGGCTTCTGTAAATCTTAAAATTATTAATTCAGTCAGATACACCAAATCCACTCTAATGTTCTCAATAAAAACTATGAAAAAGAAATTCTATCCTTAGAACTACATGAGCTTAGGCTTAACTCATATGAATTCAGGAAAAAAATTGTAAGAGCTAGCGAGAGTTAGTCCTAAAATGATGAATTCAATCTTCCAAGGGCTTTCTCCATAGACAATAAAACAAAAACACCTTGTATTCTCCCCACACAAGAGTTCTTCACTCAGAAGAGCCCAGAACTATGTTGACCAGCCACTGGTCTTCAAGGTAGATTTTCTGGTACTGCTATGGTCTGATACATAATTAAAAATTATATTAAAGCCCCATAACCATTAATGGGTGTTTACTCTAAAGATACACTCAAAGGTCTAAAGAGGAGAAGTAAGGTTTGTAGTGTCTCAGACACAACAGGGGGAATAATTAAATCTTTTTATGCTGAGTTTGCTTTGACTTCTTGTGATGAGAGCTCATAGGAAGCCAAGAAGCAGAAATTTCTTTGGGAAATTCAGGATAGGCAGAATTGTTTTCCTTCTGCATCTGAAAGAAATTCTGCCAGAAATGTGCAAGCACTGGAATATTCTCTTTACTTTCATTGCACAGTCATTATGTTGCTTACAATGTGGTTCCAAAAGACTTTAGGGTCTTTAAGCCCCTCTGATCACCAGTTAATGACTGGCAAGGTTTAGACTGGTATTGGCTTATTCTCCATGTTGTCTCTCCAAAACCTTCCCATTGGAGGAGGCTGTTGCTGTGAACTCACCTCAACCATCCTCAGGCACTGTTCAGAAATGACAGCAAAGGAATGATAAAAGTCAGATGAGCTACTCCCCCTGAGTCCCTATCACCAAAACAGTGCATGTTCCTGCAGTGACAAATGGAGTTGGAAGCACCGTGGAGGGGTTGGCTCTGGGACACAGCAGCTTTGAGGACATCCTGAAGTGAAAAGGGCCTGTCTTCTGTAGCCATGGTCACACACTCACTTCCCATGGAAGACAAAAGTACACAGCCTAGAATTAGAGGTGAGCACCAACATCCCGTGTTTAAAACCATAAGTTTTGCTCTTCCCGGGGTCCGGTTGGCTGTCTGCACACTGTGATTTCAGTCACTTTTACAGGGTAAGTCTCATACAAAGCAGCCTTGCCTGCTCCATTCTCATGACAAATGAAGGCGGGTTCCCAAAAAAAAAGGTGACTATGTAAATGGGTTGCAGTTCAGGTACCATTGCTAAGTCTGATTTCCCTGCTTGGGGCCCTGGGCTAAAGAACTGAAGAACTGAAAACTTAACTGCAAAGAAAAACATATCCAACTGGAGACATAGTCCTCAGTGATTTGGGGTTTCAGTTCTGATAAGAAATTCTTACCTCAAAAGGACTTTTACTCTGTAAAAAATCAATTAATATATTCCCTTACAGGACAGCAATGGCTGCAAGTTTCTAAATCCTTACCATAATAATACATCTTCATCATTTATTCCCAATGCGTTGATAATGCTATTAGAATAAAGCCATCTACTAATGAAAATACCAGTATCCTAAAACGCAAGAAGGTGACCATCAGTTTATCATTAACCACAAGTCACCTTACTGATTTTACCTGGGTATATTAAAAGGCAGTTATCAAAGTTTATACCACAAAAACATATTATAGTGTTTGCCTATGAGCATGTTAGAGTTGTCTCAAGTGATCCAGATTCATGTCCTACCTATTTTCTAAAAAAATATTGGTCTGAACATTGCTTCTGAGAAACTACTTGAAACAGGGAAAGCAAAACTATTTGTATATTTGTTGGTTCACTTATACTAACCTTCTTCTGAAAAGCATTACAAGGGCAAAATACCTTTTAAGAAGGCAGATTTCTAGAAATTTGCCAGAGAACCTACCTGTAGAAACCACAAATGAGAGCAGAAAGAATTAAATAGTGAGAGAATTTGTTTTCATTGAGCTTTTTCTTTACTATTTCATTGCCTCGTTAAAACTTTTGACTCAGTCTTATGGAGAACAAAGACTACATTGCACAATATAAAATTCAAACATACAAAATTAAACTGAAAAATACTGACTCAGATAACTGACAGGAGAATACTAGTTTCATGTAAAAGCCAAAAAAAAAAAAAATTGCTTTTGATTTATATTCAGGTAATTTTGGGCTTATGTGTGGACCACACAATGCGTGTTTGTTCTATACAGAAAAAATGGGACCACCAGGGAGTTTTAATCTCTCACAAAATGCGGAAAAATACTGCATGTAGAGGTACTTTGCAACTGAGTTCACTGAAAAACACATTGCTTTATCCACGGGAATAGAACTACTCTTTGTAACTTTGTCTTATTTATAGGTCTGGCTGTTGGACTGTGTTTCTGCTAAGCAACCAGTCATCCATACATCATTTATAAAAACAGAGCTATTAACTTATAAATAACAAACACAGCATTTCTAATGCCCACTCACAAATTCCGTCATTTGCACCTCGTGATACTGTAGCCCAGATTCTTGTACCAGCTGCTGGAGATACAATCAAGGCTGTGGGCACAAGAATTGAAGGTCTCTGTAGGTCAAAGTGCATTTTTCACACTTATCAAGGGAACACGTGCAACTGTGCAAGTGCAAGACTGACTGGTAGCTCATACCATAGAAAAACCAAGTGCCTCTCAATAAATGCAAGGGCACGTATCCTGTAAAGGAGCCTACAGAACAATGGCATAACCGTGAATTTGGGTAATGATCAAGGTAACGTTAGCAGTGAGCCTTCACCATCAGGGCACTTCCCCCACTGAGTCCACACTGCTGCTCCCAGGCTGGGAGCGGCAAGTATCTTTGGGTATTTTAAGTAGGTCTTTCGACCAAACCAGGATTTCTCTTTCAGGGTGCACACTATGTAGTAGTCCCCCAGCTAACCTGGCTGGGAATCAGCCAGGACAAAGCAGCTCCTACCCATGGCCAAGTTTCCTAGAAGGGAAACTAGGGCAGGACATATGGAAGACAGCCTTACATCCCACCTGGCCACATGCTGCTGCTGTTCCCCAGGCTGCATCTCCGAGGAAACACAAACTGTTCCATAATGGTTCACATTGTGAAGATCCCTCTTTCTTTCGCTGTTTTGACTGGGTCTGTGATCCCTTCAACCCTCCAGCTGGGCATGGGTCAAGTGACTAGGAAAGCAGACAGACCCCTGTGTAAAGCAGTCCTCCAGTTGCCTTCCCCACTTCTGGCCCCACTCTGCAGTAGCAGACAGGAAATTCCTGTTATCCAACCCCAAAACTTTGTGATAAAATGAATGTTTAGTTATTTTTCCCCAATGTTGACTTATGCTTTACATATTTTGAGCTGAGAAAATTGTGAAAATTTGCCTTGCATATAGCAATCTTAATTATAAGAAATACCTTCTGTTGTCAAGACACCTTACAGCTCTGAAAACTTTTGCTTTTATCTAGGATTTGAAGTCTAAGTAAAAAATAGTTGTGCTCAAGTCATCTTTTTCTTCTCAAATAACACAGCATTTATATCCATTTCAGTTTTTCTGGTATTAGAAAAAGTATAAGAGGTTATAATTTAACCTGACTGCCTTTCTGATAGAACAAAAATCCTTGGGTAAGGTGGAGGTTTCCCAGTGTGCTTTTTTAAAGCACATTGGTTGTTTAGACTGCTAGATATGCTTTGACATAGCTGTGAGATGTTTAGGAAAGCATTCTGTAATGACACTGGCTGATTCTCTTCAGCCATTGCACTCATAACAGATAAATTTGCCCTTGCTTACGCAGTGTAAACATGTTTCAATGAAAAAAAAACCAAAAAAACAAACAAGTAAAAGGTGAAAAAATAGATTTCAAGAAGGAACTCTACCCTAGATCTAGGAGCTCTGTCATCACCTGTATCCACGCATTTGTGTCAACGGTACATTTTAATTGTTTAATCACACTTTGCCATCTATAGCTTGAGATGCCACTAATCTGTTATAAATACCAGCAGAATAAGCTTTTAACTTGTTTATTACACCAAAGATCAGATTTATTTTCAGCCTTCTGTGCCAGAAGATCTTGGCTGTTCATTCTGTTTAGAGAACATGCCAGTCAGTGTTACTTGAAAGGGATCATTTTTAATTCCATCCAAAAGATAAATGTTTTAAAACATTTAAGCACTCTAATTTTTCTTCCTTATAACATACGGCGCTGTGTTGGCACTGTTGGGAGTTATTATTTTATTTAAAGCCCTACTATTATCCAGCCTCCAGCTGTCTGGGAACACAAATGAGGAAAGCACAGCTAGATATTTTTACTATGTATGATGCATAAACCACAATGTATAA